GAAATTTTAAAACAAAAATTTATAAATTTTTTAAGTATTATTTATTTGAAGAATTATTTTTGAAGGTGGACCAGAAATTTTTTGATATGATTCTAAAATTTATATTATATATATGGGTAATTATTTTTGAAGGCGACAAAAATCTAGATATGATTTTTTCAGATCCAACTTTTAAACAATACTTATATAATATAAACTTTAGAATCATGCCAGAAAATTTTCAGTCCGCCTTCGAAAATAATTACCCATATATTGTTTAAAAGTTGGATCTGAAAAAATTATATTTAGTATTTTTGTTACCTTCAAAAATAATTACTTATTTATTTAAAATAAATTATTATTTTTATATTTTTAAAACAATAAATTTTTAAAAAATTATAATTAAAATTAAAATTTTTTTAAAAATATAAAGTTTTGTAATAGAATATATATATAATATATTCATGTATAAATAAGAGTTTTATAAAAAAAACTTTAAAACAAAATTAAAATTTTTTTTATTAAATTCAAAAAAAATTTTAAAAAAATACTTTAATAATTAAATAAATTAAATAGCTAGTTAATAGATTTTGAAAAACAATAAAAATTTGATTTATAATTAAAATTAATATTAATATTTTTTAATTTAAATTTATTATATAAATTATATAATTTTTAAATTATTTTATATATAAAAGAAAAAAATTTTCAATATAAGAATTATTTAAAAAATAATTATATAATTATTTTGACTAATTGATTATTAAATAATTGTAATAGAAAATAAAATTATAAAATAAAAATAATTAAAACTTTGAAATTCAAAAATTAAATATTATTTTATGTTATTCATAATTATCTTAATAACTTATTATTTGATATTAATAGCTCTTTTTTATATAAAAGTTCTTTAATTTCAATTTTAAATAAATACTTATTAATTAAATAAAATTATATATTAATATTATAACAAAATTAAAACTATAGAAATTTATATTTAAAATCAAAATAACGATATTATCATGGAATTGTCTCAATAACTATTTATTAATACTTTTTATATAAAACTTTTCGACATAAATTAATATCATATTATTTATACGATTTAAAATTTAGGGTTATATTAAATTCTTTGTTTTTACAATATACTTGATTTTTTTATGAAAATGTCAAAATGTCAATTAAGTATGACGATCAGGGAATTACGCACATACAGTATATGACCTGCTAAAGTTGGCGATCTTTGCATGCGTATTACAAATAAATGAATAATCTCCGAATCAAATTTGGTCTTCACTGCTTCACTTCCATCAGATTCAGATACCCGAGTTTTATTATCCATCGGAGATTTTTTTTTAAGACGATTGAGAATTCAAACAAAATGACTACTACTTGGACCTATCCTTCAGTCAGACGCGACGAGTCGTTCTTTGAAGAATTACATGGTGTAAAAGTCGCGGACCCGTATAGGTGGCTCGAAGATCCCGAGTCTGAGGAGACAAAGGTGATAAAGTGCAATAGTAAACCAAGCACCTATCATCACATTTTTTCCTTTTTGTTTCTTAGCACATGGTCTTATAAAGGAATTTACTTCTAGGATTTTGTGGCCGCGCAGAATGCTCTTACTGACAAGCACTTGGAAACATACCCACATCGCGAGAAATTTCGTAAAGCGTAGGATCTTTAAGAATCACATTGATTAGTCAAAATGCATAATAATTTATCGTAGACTACATTTCTCTTTTTATCTAGTTTGACCAAAATGTATGATTATGAGAAATATGGTTGCCCATTTAAAAGAGGCAATTGCTATTATTATTTTTATAATACAGGATTACAAGCACAAAGGTATAAGTTTGTTCATAGTGATTGGTGATACTAATTACTCGTCGTTATTTACTCATGCAAACTTCGTTCATTCAACAGCGTTTTGTATCAGCTGAAAGATTCACTAGATTCCGAACGCGTCGAATTCTTTAATGTTTGTAATACTTTAAAATTCGCTTTTATAATGAATATCAGTTATTCTTAAATATTATTTTTATACACTTTATAGCCAAACGTTATTGAAAAAGATGGCACTGCGGCTCTTAATACCTACTCTTTTTCAAAACACGGAAAATACTTTGCCTATGGTATCTCTAAATCAGGCAAGTGATTTCTCTTAACGTGTCATCGATTGTTATTTCTCCACTAATGTCATTGCCCCTTTAAATAGGTAGTGATTGGGTTACTGTAAATGTGAAGACTACAAATATTGAAGAACAAACTCAATTAAGTGATGTCATTGAATGGGTCAAATTCTCGGCAATCGGCTGGACCAATGACGAGGCTGGTTTCTTTTATCAAGTGAGAAAAAAATTTGAAATTTAATTATGTTTAATAATACATGCAGAAAGTCAGAATTTTTATTATTTGTACAGAAATATCCTCGACCTGAGAAGGATACCGATAAGGGTACTGAAACAGATTCCAATTTAAACGCCGAGGTAACGTGCATCAACCATTCTGTAATTTCAGACGAAGACATTAACAAGTTATATATATTTTTTATTACTAATTTTTTTGCGACATATAATATTCTATTAAAGCTTTGTTACCATAAATTAGGAACTTCGCAATCGGAGGACATCACCATCTGCAAAGATCCGGAAAATCCGGAATATATGTATGATGCATATGTCTCGGATGATGGTCGTTATATAATTGTTGAGATAGTGAAGGATTGCAATCCAAAGAACAAGTTATGGATTTCGGATTTAGAGAAATCCAACTATGAAATCACTGGTGAGGAATTAACATGGAGCCCTCATTAAGCATACTGATTAAGAAAAAAAAAATAGTTCTTTGCTAAAATCATACTTTTAACGATATATTAGGAAACATCGATTTTATTAAAGTCGCAGATAACTTCGATGCGAAATATTCATAGTAAGTCAATACCTCTTTTTATCCAAAAGTCGAGAATTTCAATTTAATAATTTTATTGATATACAGTGTAACAAATGATAATACAATATTTTACTTCAAGACTAATTTAAATGCGCCTCGATGCAAAATCGTCAAATATGATTTGGCTCATCCTGAAGAGGTAATATCTGATGGGGATTGGGATATGAGTTATTTGTTTATTAACCCATGTATTTTATCTCCAGGGTTTTGTGGAAATTGTAGGAGAGAGTCAAAAGGACGTCCTTACGAGTGCTAACGTAGTAGCAGAAAAAAATTTAATTTTGATATATATGCATGATGTTAAGGAAGAAATACGTATACACGATTTATCTACAGGAAAACACATAATGAACCTGCCGCTTCCAATAGGATCTGTGGAATCTCTTACAGGGAGAAAAGAGGACACCGAATTCTTCTTCAACTTTATTAGCTTTTTGAACCCCGGGATTATCTACAAATATGACTTCTTAAGTAAATCTTTGTCAGAATACAAGACCACAACTGTTCAAGGGCTGAAAAGTGAATTGCTGGAATCGAGGCAAGTTTTTGTGAAAAGCAAGGACAACACAAATGTTCCAATGTTTATTATTTCCTCTAAGGTTCGTTTCAATGAAAATACTTTTTATTTTCTTTATTTTTTGTAAACGAACCTTAATATAAATATATGTGTGTGCACTACATAGAACATTGATCTAGGTGGCAATAATCCCGCTCTTTTGTATGGATATGGTGGATTCAACGTCAGTATAAAACCGACTTTCAGTGCTTCCTGGATAAGTTTTGTTCAACATTATAATGGAGTCGTAGCTGTTGCGAACATTCGCGGAGGTGGCGAATATGGCGAGGAATGGCATAAGGCTGGAATGTTAGCGAATAAGCAAAATGTTTTTGACGATTTCCAGGTGATTTTTATTGGATTGTAATGATTATGTTTTGATTTTTACTAACAATAATTTTATGAAATAATAAGGCCGCTGCAAAATGGTTGGTGGAAAATAAATTTACAAAGCAAGAGAAGTTGACGATTCATGGCGGTTCAAACGGTGGTTTGCTTGTTGGAGCATGTGTCAACCAGGTATTTATTCCTTGTCTTTAAACTAAACTTAACATGTTTGTGCCTGGATATTATTAACATTATTTCCTTTATACATCTAGGCACCCGAATTGTTTGGTTGTGCCGTAGCCAGTGTAGGTGTTATGGACATGCTGAGATTTCATAAATTTACTATTGGGCATGCATGGCGAAGTGACTATGGAGATCCCGATAAAAAAGAAGATTTTGAATATATATACAAGTATTTATTATTTAGATCTATACTAGGCCTTACATAGAGCTTTGTAAGAACTTTTGATTTTTCCTTTTCAGGTATTCTCCGGTTCATAATGTAAAACCAGGCAAAATTTATCCTGCACTATTATTGACCACTTCTGATCATGATGATAGAGTGTAATTATGACTCTCCGTTTATTTATCAGGTACTAAAAAATGACTTGCTATTTTTTTACTAATTGCACAACGCACTGGTCCCCACTTTTTTTAGAGTACCTTTGCATTCCTATAAGTACATAGCAACTCTGCAGCATGTTGCTAAAAACAACCCAAATCCATTGGTAATAAGAATAGACACAAAGGTATGTTTTTGCTTCATCCTATAAAAACACCCGATTTAAAACAAGCCTAATATAATAGTTGATTGAATTTTGTAGGCCGGTCATGGTGCTGGAAAACCAACGAAAAAGCAGGCAAGTCTTTATGCCTTTTCTGTTTACATGTTTTATTAAACTTCACTTTACTAATTAGTCTTTTTTTAAAATAAAATTCTGCAGATTGACGAGGCTGCTGACAGGTTTTCTTTTATTGCATTATCTGTTGGCGCCGAATGGGTAGAGTAAATAGTTGCAAATTATTGCTATTTATTAGTCAAAGTTTTGATATATTAAATTAAGTCCATTAACTGTGAGTGTACAATATATTAAATATTACGGCGAAAAATAGACAGTACTTTGATATTATTTTGTTTCATCACTAGTTGAAATAAAATTTGAGGATGTAGAAGCACGGCATAAATAGAAAATCTAGAAATAATGGATATACATATTATTTACTGTATGTATGTGCGGGATATATTGTATAAAATAACATCAAGTGTTTTTTAATTTCCTATTTATTTGTCTTAATAAAGCAATATTTTTCGCGTTTTTAATTTATCCTTTATAACAGTTATATTATTAATTGGACTCTAAGCGCCACATGTAGCATCTTATTAATTACCGATATCCAAAAGTACAGAATACGATGTACAATATTATAATTATTATATATGTTTGTTTCGCAGAATTTATAAGAGAAACAATTGAGTTTTTTCAAAAAATTCCGCCGTTTAAATTCATTGATCGTTGCTGCATTTTTTACGCGATTTATTCATTAAATTATTAATGGTTTTTTTGACCTGATTCATTCTTCTTATATCAAATACATTAACATTCACAATAAGAGTATTTTATACATTGAAGCAACTTCAGGTTTTATCTTTCAAAGGAAAGGATGGAAATTCCAACTATTTGCATGTTTTCTCAACTTTTTAAATAGGTTTTCAAAAACCATCACAACAGGGATTATACGTGCGTATATGTCTTTGTTTACTTTCTTTAAAATTTAACTCTTGGAATTTTTACATATATTATTATTATCAATCTTACTAAAAAATACATTTCATAAAATAATTTAATTATGAAATTATTATTTTTTATCGGATGAAATAATTGTCCGATAAACTGCTGACTGTATATATGGTTAAATTTTAAAAATTTTTACAATTACGATATCTATATTCGAAAAATTAAAAATTGCGTATCATTTTTTGGAAAACGTTTTTATCGACAAATTTCTTCTTTCAAGCTAGGATTCATGATTTTTTATGGATAACTATACAAACCGGATTTTTATTATTAAAAAAAAAAAAACAAAATCGCTACGGATTAAATAAAATATTTTGATATTATCGATGGTTTGAATAGCATTAAATAATAATTTTTTTTTATTAAATGATAGGAATAAATAAAGAAATGAAAAATAAATAGATTTTGAAATCATCTGGTTAATGTTATTAACAATATTGATGAAAAAAATATTTTAACATGCAATATAATTGCCATTACAAATTAATTATTTTACAATGGTTTTGATTTAAATTGAATCTTGTATAATAAGGTTTACCCAATTTTTGATCAGAGTTACACCAGCCAGATAAGCCAGTGTTATGTTATAAATTTTTGTATCATCTGGTTCAAGCATACTTTAATGTATTTAAAAAAAAAATATTGTTAAAAGTTTAAAAAGAATGTGTAACTTTAATCAAGTAAAATATTAATAATAAGAATAATTTTTTTACAATCGAACTTAAAATTTATTTATTAATTTCTTGGCCAGAATTTAGAATTTTAGCATTAAAAAACAATTTTATTATAACTGTAAATACTGTATTATTATAATCAATTGGTATTATATAGTGATAGTAGTATTTTCTTGCTTTTTAGAACCGCGCACATACATAACCTCATTTTTTAATTTCTCACGATCCATTCTGTGCACAAATGGACACGTCAGACGAACAATGAAATAATATACACATCACTTTTTTTTTCTTTGCACACAGCCTACACGTCGGAGGTCTAATCAGGAAATAAGTAAAGCATTTGCAGCAAAATAACGTCACCTGAATACAGACAAGCGATAAAGGTAGATAAACCTAAAATCTAAAACTCTATCCTTGATAACTGCTGAATAAACAAAGAATAGACAGGACACGTCAATTTATGCTGTTAAAAATATAACACCACTGGACTACGATACACGTGGGGAATATCATGTTAGTATCATGAACACATAAAATAAACACATCAGCACATTTTATCAATAATGCAGCAAAGAAAGGAATAGAAATCATTGAAAATGTGTGACAGGTTCATGAATTCACACATTCTTCCTACAGCATAAAACAATTCATCCATTAACTCTCATTGATAAATATAACTTCATTTTAATTTCAGGGGAATCATTGTATTATCGTAAATCTTCCTGGCGTCAAATTAATTCCTTAATGTCACATTTAAGCAATGGCAATCTTTCATGGTGGAATCCGAACGAAGAAGTTGAATCCAAAACTGGAATTTTCAGTGAACCGGTCGTTATATTCCATAATGCCCCCGAGATTACCGATCTTTCAACTTTAATAGGTGTCCCTCAGACTTTTATTGGGAATCAACTTTCAACGTTTGGCTTTGTTGATGAATCGATCTCAGCATCGCCCATCTCCCCTTTCCAGCAATCAGCATATCCAGCGACGTTTCCGCAATTTTCGTGCAATCTGGAGTCCTCGATCTTGGAATCACCTCAATCCATCACACATCTAAACTTCACTGATCAGTTCAAAGGGGAGTGCGTGGATTATCCTACTTTCCAATCACCAAAGTTAAAACGTCCGATTCTTCCTCATCTTACTCTCATCCAACCAGACAGGAGGCAATTTGTTACTATGAATTTATCTGAAAACGTGACGAATGAACAAGCTTCTTCTGTTGATATTTCTATTCACGAAGATGAAAATAGTTCATCGCAGAACTCATCACCATCAAGCGCGTCCGATCCCAGCGATGGAGACAACATCACTCCGTCCACATCAGCGGACATGTTTAAACAAGCACATCCCTCAGTCACAAAGTCAATTGGCCGTCCCAAACGTCGACAATCCTTAGAGGAAAAGGAGCAAAGGGATCGAAGGCGACGTGAAAAAAATCGACAGGCTGCTCGTCGTTCTCGAACCAGAAAAAGGGTTCAACGAGAACAACTAGAGAATCAAATATACGAGTTAGAAGTCGCATACGAAATTCTTAAAAATACTGTGAAAGAAAAGGATGAAGTTATTCGAAAGTTGGAAATAGAGAACAAAAGCCTGAGAAAGTTGGATGAGTTAAAATAGATTATTTATTATGTAGGTTTTAGCTTTTGATATGAGAGATTTCCATCATTTTTTGCTTTCCTCAAAGAGTCACATATTCTTTGCATGCTATATAACATTTGTAAATTTGCATAATCACCTATAATTCAATATTAGACAATAAATTATACTCTAAATGATTAATAGTGTTATTCATAAATGGTGATCACGCATCTCTTGGAACATGTTTTTTACGTAAGCATGAAGTCAAAATTTCTCCGGGAGCAAACATCAACAAAAAGGTCTAGACGTTGTGCATGATCATTTTCATCGAGAGATCACAAATTATTATATTCATTCTGATCTTTTTGCCACTCGATTAATAAGTTTCAATTGGGACTGAAATAAGCGATATTGAAGTGATAGTGTTAATAAAGTGGATACAATGTATGTTTGAGCTTAAACAATTATTATATACTGTAATTTAATTACTTTTATAATTGAGCTGATGACTTTATTTTTCATTGTTTATTGCCTTAATTTAAAAATTAGGATTATTTTGAATATATTAATCTCGCGTAATATTATGATAATATAAAAATATACAAGCCCTCTCATAAATACCAAGCCATCATTGCTCTTTATAAAAATATATAGTCTTTACCGTACGCGCCACGTAACCGCGTTCAAGACGATGTCAATTGCATAACACATCTCCGTCGCCTACCACAATATATTATTATTAAATTATAAAATTATATATTTAGATAATGATTTTTGCAGACGAACAAAAATTATAATGTTTATATATACTGTATAATGATTTTATTAAATTATAAGATAGATTAAAATTTACACAAAATGTTTGTTTAAATTTATATAAAGAGTCAAAAATTGAATTATCAAAAATATAAATTAAATATTAAGTAGAGTTTGCATGAAGGAAAAATAGTTGGATCCAAAAATATATAGAACTATTATTTATATTTTAAGATTTATTTAATATTATCATGTCATATTTTTATAAGAATTGAAAAATCTCATGGATTTTCTGCTTCAATAAGTAATTTGCTTATTTTTATTATCATGATATTTAAATAATTAAGTAAAAAATTGTTATTGTTATTGCTAGTGTGATCTAATGATCATATAAATAGGATTGATAGAGACACTATTATTTAATCAAATTAAAAAAATAAATAAAATTGATTAAAAAATTATAAAAAAAAATAGGTTTATATAGTTTTTTGTTTTATTTATTTCATATACAATATGTCATATCAAAATTATATACATATATATTTATATTTATAATCAAACAAGTATATAATATTTATTAAATCTTTACAAAAAACAAAAAACTTATTATTTTTGAATTGCTTTTTTTAAGATTTTGTTAAATTTTTATTTTTATTTTTTTATTTTTTTAAAAAAATTTAATAATACTTTTTTCTTAAACTTTTGCATTTCAAATTCTTTTTATTTATTGTAATTTAAGCTATTTATTATTTTATCTTTTTTTTTGGGGGGGTTTCCCCAGTAGGTAAACATCATTTCTTTATTTTGATTTGTATATAATAAAGTATACAT